GTTGAATATTTTCACCAAACATTCCATTTCCACTTGCATTCCGCTTCAGTGTAGTTCTAGCTGCCAGTTACTCTTTGCAATTCAGGCGTCTCTGCTGGGGGAACTAAGCAAGTCCGACACTTGAGTCACAGCCAGACCTCTCGTGAATATCAAGCAATGGAATGTTCTTAGCCTGCTTAATGCCTTCTCTCATGGCTTCGTCTCCACATTTCATAGTGTTTTATGCAGTCTTATATATTTTAATAGTCTGGAGTAGTGCTCTGTTTTGAATTTTAATTAGCTTTTATTGAGCTGCTCTGCCATGTTCTCTGATGTATGAGGTTCCAATAATTCATAGGAAATATCATGTGAATATGAGAACCACATGTTTCCAGAAACTTTGTTTGTATGGGATAGCGTTAACCCTACACAGGACAGAAGGGAATAACTAAAAGCGTGATTCCCATGAATAGCCTAGTCAGGAAGCACACTGCATTCTGCAATGTGCACTGTATTCTACAACGTGCACTGCAGTCCTGAAATTTGTAATAATGATGCTGAACCCCCCACCCTGCTTTCTCACACACTCTTCCAAAGCTATGGTGAGAGTCTTAGTCCCCCAACCCCCCCCCTCCCCCTGCCCCCCGTCTTCCCATACACATTCAGTTGGAGATGATGGTATTTAATCTGGCCTACACAAAAGAGCCCTTGGTAGCTGGCCCAGTGCAATTGGTTTTCCTAGAAATCGGGGCTTGTGATAATGTCCCAGTATCTCCCAGTATGTCCCATGTAGATGAATTAAGCCTTTTCTTACTTTTTGCGATCACTGATGTAGGAAATTAGACTTGTAGAAAATTTCTGCCTAGGTTCAGTTTGGAGACACTCCGCAGGTCAGACTGCGTAAAGAATAATGACAAATGATCTGTTAGGCAAAAACTGTCTTCCTTTGCTTGCTGCAACACATTACTGTAGAGCACCAGTCTTTCCTGAGAAGGAGAATAGCATTCCTTTTCATTGTATTTCAAATGCCATACTCACCCATCGTTATGGCTTTAAGTTAAAAAGAATGAACTGGTTCAACAAAAATATATATATATGTTCTTGGCACATTTTCTCATTGCATCCGTGTGTACCATCTGTATGGAAATGTATGAAGCGTTTCAAAACACATTTCGTGAAATGAATCTATTCAGTGGATGTGTGATTTATAACCTTTAACATTGTCTTATACTATTTGTGTACTTTTAATATGCAGTTATCTCATGTACTTTTTACTGGTATCCACACAAACATGAAAAATTTGCAATATAAATGAATGTAAATAAGTAACGCTGTTTAAAATTTCCTGTGAATGTGGTATGTGTGTGTCATGCAGTTTTTGCTGCAGCTGTATCTGCATGCATTCTCAGGCACTGCGCTTCCACATCCACACTTACAATACGCACTGCCTACTGGGTATACACAACTGCTCCCAGCAATAGCTTTCACACATGGATTAGCATCGAGAGGGGCCCACTCTTAGCTGCGCCTTTGTTTTGGGGGGGGGTTCATACTCTTGTTCACCCTGACAAGGACGTTCCTGCTGAAACAACTTGTGCCCTTTTTTTAATTAAATTTTTTATTTATTTTTAAATAATGGCAAAGGCCGAAGTGCTAGGTGACAGAGGAGTACAGACAGCGTGCAATTTGTTTTGTTTTCCCTGTCCAGTCATCTTAAGACAGATGTTGCTATAAGTTCTTTTATTACTTTTAAGTAAATAACATATAAACAGCATTGGTAGTGATTTGCTGTATACAAACTATGCATTTTATTCATTTATATCCGAAACGGCGATGTACACTGGTTTTTACTCCTAAACTGTGGTTAATATATTTATATGTATATTCTATTTCCACTTTATATTCTATTTTCTATTTATTCATATTTAAATTTATATTTTTAAGTTTAAGATTTTTAGTATTCATGCACCTTGCTAGGCCGATGGCGAGTCAATGCAACATAATGTCGTTGTGATGTGCACTAACCGGTGTATGTTCTGAATGACAATAAAAGTAGCTATTCTATTCTATTCTATTCTATTCTAGTGTCATCGGTAGAAATATTGGCCTTCTGGAGGGTTGCATTTTTCTTTATATTTTTAGCTGCTTTATTAGTTCATGCTTTAAATTTTATAGATATATATACATACTTTCAATTGTAACACTAAAAATTAACACCAAATTAACACTAAAAGCCAGTTTATCACAGTTTAGTTTAAGCTTGAGACTTTCAGTGACACACTTGGCTAGGGGTGGAAAAAAATGGACATTCCAGCTGAATAAACTGCCGGTCATTGTCTGCCATTATTGCTAAGAGAGTTTCCTGTGTGAATCCCTCCAGTGAAAAAGGCCTTTTCATGTGAATGAGGTGATTTTTCTATGGGTGAATGTGGAGGATTCTGTGTGTCACTGTTTAGTGACTTAGGGATGTTTTCATATGTTTTTCTGTATGCAAGTTTGAACTTGGACTAATAAAAGCTGGTACTGCTATCACACCAAATTTTAACCCACCCTGACATCAAAGTGACTGACATGACAATATATCACGGTAAATGATCCCTCGCCTATTGCAACAATGACAAATCCCTTTTCTATAGTGCAATCACTACAGATTTCATTGTGGAAACAACAGGAGAATTACTCCCATTTTCACATAGCAACAGACTATACATCTAATACCTCATTTTATATTAAAATGAACACAACTGTGTATTAAATGTGTATTCAGCTGATATTAAATCTTACTTCACTGTAACCTCAAATTAGGTGACTTACCAATAGTTACAGTAGATAATCACCCACTGAATATGATGGCATAATTGCATGATATTTATTATGATATTAAATGGGTTAATACTTGGTAATAACTCAGTTACTAGTGAAGTACTAATCATGAACAAATCATGAACAAATTCACTACATAAGAAAATATGCATCAAGATTCATTAATGATGAACAAGCATGAGCTCAGTATTTCACTTGGGTTATTCTCGCTCCGGTAGTTTCTTCAGTTGTTCTCAAAGGTTTACAGACTTAAGATATAGTAACAAATATAGCAACTGCTTGAGTTAAAACATGTCACGATTTATTAATGACAAATTAACATGAGATCAGTATAAAACTAAGTCAGTCTGTGGTTAGTCAATACATAAGTAATATCATAATATTGTATTATTTGTGCCCTGTGATTCAAAAACTCGTACATTAAAGTGAACTCCTTCACTGCAGAAATGTATGTGATAATGCAATTCTAAAACGTTTAAATTAAAATGTGTTTAAATTAAAATAAATGTTAAAAAATGTGAAGGGAAAAGAGGTAGTCAGATTTTCTCTTTCCTTTTTGGGGGGGGGGGGGGGGGGGGGGCGGTAAGGGCAGTTACGATCATCTTTAAATTCCTTGCACTACAACAGAAATCTGAGCTGTATTGCAGTTTTGTTTTGAAATGTGCCAGATGCAGAGCATAGTGCACGCATTTCTATTTAGTTTCCCACAAGTGGTAACATAAATGTCCTACAATAACAAACTATCTGATTGTAGTGTAAAGTGCTCTGGCGTGTGTAAATGTGTGTGCTATGAAAACACAAGACAGCAACACTCAGTGTACTCATACAGAATATACCGAGGAGAAAAACTAAAGGAGAAAACAGGTGTCTCATGCACAAATCTCCGTATTGTAAGAAAATGTGAGGTCTTAAATGAGTTGGCACTTTCTAGCGGAGTAAAGGAAAGATGAATATTCATCTGCTCTTGTATGCCTGAGTTGCCTGAGAACTAAAGAATGCTTCATCTGTGTCTCTCTAATGACTCACAGTTGGAACAATCTGGAACTATTAGTCAATAAACTCATCCAAGTAATTACAGTCTTTCCTTACGTGGACGCACAGTGGCTGGGCCACTTTTTAACTTGACTTATGACTTTTTAACTTGACTTAGCTATCATTAGCTGTATTAACAATGCATTGACCATTTTTGGGACTTGGCTAATGGGTGCATCTGTGTCTTTTTAATGTTCAGATTTTGCTCAGTTATAGTTTTATAATTGGCTCACTGTGGTTGTAATTATTATAAAGATTCAATCTATTCTTATGGCAGCCCTCTACTAGAAAAGTATAAAGAAAAAACTTCATAGAAAATTTTCCTTTTATTTCAGTGCTGTTGTTTTTTTTTCACTTGTTTGCCACTTATTTAATTTTCCTGTATTTTTTCCCCATTTGGAAACAAATTTTATAAGGTGGGGGCTAGGGCATTTAAACAGACAGGGGAAACGTCATTGGGTTTCAGTATATTTACTCTGATGGTCAAAACCTCAGAGTCCTGGGTCAAAACTGTACTTGCCAATAATGACTGTGTCTGTTAGGCAGTTTTGTTAAGGGGGTGGGCAGTGGAGGTAAGAGGCCAATTATAGGCGTGATGGTCTGCATTTATATCTCACTCCCCAGGCCTTGGCAATGTTTCGAAACCCAGCTCTCTGCTGCTTTCCAAAAAAAACAAGCTGAGCAGGTGGGTGGAGCCTCTCCCCCCCCCCAGCTTCCTCACAGCTACACTTCCCACCTATCAGGGCGTCCGTGATGGGCCCTCAACCCCCACCCCCCTGCTGTTCTGTGGCCAATCAGATGGTGTTGCTGCTCAACCCCTTCTTCCTTATGTGCTTTCTGTGCTGACAGGGCAGGCCTGCCTTTATCAGCTGGTGGGAAATCAGCCTCTTGGTTAAACTGAAGTAGAGAGAGAGAGAGAGAGAGAGAGAGAGAGAGAGAGCGAGCACCAGGGAGTAAGACACTGCCTCTGTGAACTAGACTCATTGTATTCAGGGTACTGAAGGAACAGGGAAACAAGAGCTTAGCTGAGTGTGTGAATCGGAGAGAGCGAGCTGGACATACCAGAATAGCGAAACAGCCACTAAACTAAAAATGGTTTAGCCCTTTGAATACACTTCAGTCGTGCCCTCTCTGAGAGGATGTGTTGTCTCCGGCATTTCTTCCAGGAAACTGCAGTCTACTTCAGAGCAGGCCGGGCATCTGGATGATCCACTTAAGACAGAGAACAGCCACGGAATGGAACTGAACCAAGCAATAACTAAAGCAAAAGCTGTACATGAAATCAGCCTGATCAGTGGGTCCTGCACTTGGTTTTGTTTTGTTTCTTGCTCTTCCTGGGAAGGTGAGGCATGCATGTTGTGGTCTCTGTAGTGTAACGGCGGGGATGCGGGTCCTAAAAAGGCAGAGTGGCTGTCATTTTGGGGGGAGGGGGACTGGCAGAAGGGGGCAGTTACAGAACTTGGTGAAAAATCCTGAATTTGTGAGCTCCCTCCACAGCATGGACAGAAGATCTAATGCAGGGCTAAATTTATGCCCTTATACAGGTCACCTGTACTGAGTTTTTGTGATAGCCAATCTTCTGACTCAAGAATATTTCACTTTCATAAAGAAAGTGTTCCGAAATTATCTTGCCGTTCCCAGAACAGCTCTGACCCATTCTCAGTTCCTCAACGGCCTTGGTTCCAACCTCACAAATGAATAGCCTTCATCTCCTCATCGAAAATAGCTGATGGATGTGGTACTGATGGCCTTTTTTAAACTGCAGCCTTGGGTTATAGAGCCTCATGTGGCGGCATTGTCATAGCTGGTCCATAAATACATTTAAACTGTAATTTACCTCTGGTTTTGATAGATCCCATAGATCTGCTCTTAGCAAAGGGCAGTCAGGACATTGTGGTGAGAACACAGCGGTTCAGTAAGAGACTAAAGCACCAGAGTGACTGTTATGCCCAAATATACCATGGCATTTAACCCAGGAATTAGTTTAGATTGTCATGAACTCACGTCTTGAATGATGCATCCTTTTGTGACGTTTTTGTTGTCACGGTGACACATTAATTATCATTATATAAGTAAGCTACATTATCTGAAATGAATTGCGATATGTGCTTAGCTGTGATTCTTGATGTATTTGTGTAGTTAGAAAATGGTCAGATTATGAACAGTAACCAGACCTTGAATCTGACTTTTTAAATGTGTGACTGATCAAAACTCCATTGCAAATTTTGTGTTTAGAGTCCTTTTGATTTTGACACAGTGGTTGTATAATGGGCAAAATGGGCATGTTTTAAGTTGTTAGAGAACCTGTTCATGGATGGAGACCTAAAATCTGTGCGCCTTTCATATGCATTGTTTGGGAAGTTACTCACAAAAGTAATCCATTACAGACAGAAGTGGAAAGTTCAAGTCCAGAAAGTACTAATCCAGACTCAGTACTCTGTAACTCTTTATACTCAACTGGTTGGTTGAAACAAAACTTTGGCCTGGATTTGTACTTTCTGGACCTGGACTTTAGATTTCTATCTGTAATGGATTACTTTTCAGAGTAACTTCCCCAACATCGTCCATGAGTGAAGTTGCGGTTTTTGCTGTTGCCTGAGCTGCTTTGTTGCTTTGCTAACAGGTTTCCTGTCCTGTAAGTTTACATCGGGTGATGAAGGTGCAGCCTTAGGACCTTAATAGGCTAAACCCTAAGTAGTAGAGGTCTCGTTCCACAGCTATGGGATGATATGCATTCCATCTAGCCCCTCCTGAAATGGTTATTCAGTATCCATTGTTTCTGACTCACACTAGGACTATATATTGTTACAACACATGAATCTATCTTAATGCTGCCCCAGATAACTTCTGGAAAGGCTTTTCAGTGACCTTTTCGATGCCCTGAGCTTATTTTCAGCCAGAGCGTGACCCCTGTGTTCTGCACATTGCAGATTCACAAGGCGACATGTGCAGAGAGTGACTGTGTCACATGCGGTAAATATGCTCGGTTGCAATCTGACTTCCCTGATCTCAGGCACAGTACCAAACTGTCCATTTCGGCTGCCTGTAAAAAACAGCTAAGTGCAGCCAGTCACCGGAGTCATGCCAGCCCTTCTGGGGAGGGTTTAAATTAGAGCAGAAAGCTGTGCTTCTCAGGAAAAACAGCCATGCTGCTGTCAGTAGCTAATGACACATGAGCCTTGTGGTAATATTGCCCCCATCTCTCATGTCAAAGACCATAACTTGCAGATAAAAATACTTGCTCTGCTCAAAATGAGGTGATTTCCTGTTCTTGCTCTGTGCCTGCGTCCACCATTCCGGCATTCCACCTGTAGGCCTTCTGCTGGTCAGCCTAATGTTTTAATTGCTGCAGCGATCTCCGTTTGTTTGGGTCAGCTCCCTGTTATCTGTTTTTATTTTCTGTGCCTCTAAAACATGGACTAGGCATTATCTTTAGGTTATATTTTGGAACCAACCAAATACAGGAATCCGCCACGTCAGAATGTACATGTAGTCGAATCCCCACAGGACAGGCTGGAACAGGGCGTGTCAGGAGGCGTCTTCCTTCCAGGACCTGCTTGCAGCATGTGTTGCGCGTCTTCCAGGACCTGCTTGCAGCATGTGTTGCGCGTCTTCCAGG